CAAAATACCGCAGAGCAACATTCGAGCAGCGTGTGACGGTTTCATTGGCCGCTTGACGGCCATAATTCGTGCCAAAAGTGACCAATTCGAACAAATCTAAACTTATTTTAAAATTTGATGCCATTTCCGATATTTTTTGTTTTCATTAAAAAAAAAAATTTAATTATGGCGTTTGGCTTTGTAGCAATTTTTCCATCTCACCCTCCATATGCATATAAAATCTAATTTTTTGGGAGGTGCCTCCGATTCTGTTGCTATATCTACAGATCCAAGTGGAATATGAAAATTGAATATAGCCTATGTTACTTTCAGGCGATGTTGTAGTATGCTTGGAAATTTTCAGGATAATCTCTACAGTGGTTTTCAAGTCCATAAATTACAAACATACAAACATTTTCCTCTTTTAACAGATTTCCAAAATTAACAGATTTTTTCATATTCAACCGAATTTTTCCATTTGTTGAAACTCGGTCCGGTATATCTATTGCTACAATAAATATTTTTTTTATATTTTATTTGGTTCATAGTTGGTAAGATCTATTTCACATGAATTCGCAATATAATCTTTTTTGTTATTTGAGCTCAACTAAATAAGCATAGTGGTGTCCGACCGACTATTGACGTTTCCTTAATGGTTCTCACTGTTCCGCATCGTCGATTTCAATCACAATAAGTATTTTAAAAACTAATCTAAAACTAATCAGCTGTGAAAATGGTATAAATATTTGTAGCGTATGTTCCGTTGTCACATCTTTCCAAGTTAATGTCTGAAATCACTGTGCTCTAAAAAACCTCAAATCTCCTACTCTTGTTTTTTTTTTTTTTTTTTTTTTTTTTTTGAACAACAGCAAAGTCAACATGCGCGACCAGCAGCAACTGGTTTCTATAATGTTTTGTGTCACGTGAGATTGCTGAAATGAAAAACGAGTTCTCATCATGGCAAATGTTCCGATGCAATACGGCAGAGCGACTGATTTATTAACTTTTACCGGTTTTATTGCTTTGCGAACAGTAGAATCCACATATATGCAAATGGAAGTGAAATAGAAATAATTGAATTAATGCATTTTGGAAGAGTCCTTAAATCTTAGTAATTGAAATTCCAGAGACGTCATTACCAAAAACCAAGATAATGGAAATTACGAAATGATAGGCATCAATTTTCTTCAAATAGAAATTGCCTTACATTTAAGTAGATTCGACTGTCAACAAGTCTCATCATCTGTATCGTCTGACAATAATTAGCAATAATGATGCGAAAGAGAGAAGGGTAATAACAATAAAGGGTGGGTAGAGTGGGTAGTAGTTGTTCTAGTTTTTGTTGAGAATCTGACTTTTGGTATATCTCTCTCTTTCGATAGTTTCACATGTTTATGCGTTAAATGAGTTTCGTTTTTAATACATAATACTTAAACAACAACAACAATGTCAAAAATGTCAAAAGAGTTGCCCTATAGAAAAATAATGTCAAAAGTCGGTTTCTGCCAGACATTTGAAGAATTTTAGTAGATCTCAGGGAAGCCTCTTGATGGCTGAAACTTTTCAGAATGCAATAAAAGAAATATGAAACCGAGTTATAATCTTGAAATATTGTTCGAAATTCTAAACTACTCGCTTCGTCCCGGTCTACACCCGCGTAATTTCGTGAAATAGAATTTCATGAAGTTTTGTTTTTTTGGATAGTTAAGGCGAACATTATATACTTATGATTTATTTATTTATTTATTCCTCTTCTGAGAAGATCTTACTGATCTGAAATTTGCAGTAAAAAATGTATGAAATCATAATAAAAAAATAAAGAAATCACCTATTTTGAAATTATTCATGTGTCGACCAAAACTTTAGCTTATTCAAATTAATTCAATACCGAACTTCCTGGCTAGCCTTTACAGGTCTTCATATACAGGATGAGATAAAAAAAAATTGCAACCAACTTCAGACTGCTGTCATTTCTAAATTATTCCAGTGACAGCTCATTATATTATATAATTTTGGTGAGAATTTTCCAGAAAAAAGTTATTCGTGATGGAATTAAAGCGTGATAGTGTGATTTCTTTATATTTGGCTGGAAAACCACAAATGGCTATCGTTAGAGCACTCCAGCATTTAAATTTGAATAAATCATTTGCGTCTCGTACCATCGCCCGTTACCGTGATACTGGTAGCGTAGCCCGACGTCAAAGAAGAAAACAACAACATCAACAGAAATGGTTCGAAAGTAAAGAAGCGACTTGATCGAAACTGGCGTCGCGGTGCCCGAAAAATGGCTCGTGAGCTGAACATATCGCAATATTCCATTCGGCAAATGTTGAAAAATGAACTCAGGGTAAAGCCATTGAAATACCAAAAAGTGCAAGAACTTACATCGAAGAAAGAAAATAGACTCAAAAGAGCTTGGCCGAAAGTGGTGAACTGCTGAATTTGGTTTTCTCCGATGAGAAAACATTCGTTGTCCAGCAGTTTGTAAACAAACAAAATGATCGTGTTTACTTGCCAAAGAGGTCAGCTGAAAATGTGCACCTTCGGTTGGGCACCAGAACTTAAGCGCCGGTCATGGTGATGGTGTGGGCCGCCATTACGGTCGATGGTCGCTCTCCGCTCCTATTAATCGACCGTGGCATCAGAACAAATACCGAATATTATCGCGAAAATATTCTGTAGGGTGTATTAAAGCCTTGGGCACGCAAACATTTTGGCCGCAGACCTTGGCCATTCCAACAGTACTCAGCACCATCGCACTCGGCACGCGGTGAGGTTCCTCGCTTCATTTCCATTGCACAATGTGTCTGGAGTATTTTGGAAAAATACCGCAGAGCAACATTCGGGCAGCATGTGACGGTTTCATTGCCCGTACGAAGGCCATAATTCGTTTCAAAGGTGACTAATTCAAACAAATCTAAACTTATTCTTAAATTAGATGCTATTTCCGACCTGATTTGATGCTATTACTTTATCTGAATCAGTTTGCAACAACAATTACGAAGTAGAAATCTTCGCATATGATGTTTTTTGTCACGATTGTTGTATTTTCTTTCCCATATATCTTTTTATGTATCAGTCATAGATTTAAGTTTAAGTTATTAATTGTTTTTTCTCGCTCACTCGTATTTTTAATTACGTCCCCTTTGTTGTTTACATGCATTGCTTTGTTTGGATATGTGAGTATGTTGAATCAACATTGTTGTTTGACGAATGGACGTGGTTACCATTATGCAGGAATATTGTAGAGCATCCAGGATTGAGATTCACAAAACTTCCATGTATATATGAGGAGCTATAAATACGAGTGAGTTGGAAGCTAACCAGGAATTTCAGTATTGAATTACGATTTTATAAACATTGATGCAAATAGCTTTGGGTAATAAAATAAATCAGATTCTGAGGTTAAACCCAAATTTGGTAACATTAGTAGTGAACCATTTTTACTCAAATGACGTTTGTTTACCAGTGTAGCATCTCAATTCTCACAGACATCAGGCAAACACAAACATTTTTGTGGGGAGCAAAAGGGTAGTAAAAACTTAGATGTACCAGACCTAGCAATATTGTTCATATATAGCATACATTATATATAGGTGAAGAACCGCATATAATTACACACATATGTATGCATGTATGTAGTAACACCACCACACTAAAAATGACTATTGTCTGGCCTTAATGAGGGCTATTTAAACTTTTTTCAATTGTCATTTTTGTCGTTTTAGGTTTGTAAAACGGCGAAAGCATTTGTTGAAATGCAAGGTTAATTGTTGTTGTTGTTGGTAAAATGTTACAGCATAACAAAATATCAGCTAAACATGTCGTGTATTCTGTCATTATCTAGTGGAAAAATTATTTTACTCAATTTTGCTTTGCAATTCATTGAAAACTGGGATTTTAAATGAATCATTCGATAAAGTGGATATTAGGTTAGATTTAAGGGGAGAAGGGGTTAAGTGGTAACTATGTATTGCTTGAAAGTGGGATTTAGTTCCAGTTTCGTTTGGAAAAATATTAACCACGGCTTATTGTCCATTCGAAAATTGAAGTCATAATATCATCCAAACAAACAGTGAAAATAGATTATGGTCTGAAAGTCAAGTCGGAGAGAACAGAAAAAGTTGGATTTTAGGATTTAAGCTCTGTAGGATAAAGGGAAAGCAATTATTGGACAAAAAATACAAATCTTGTTCTGGACTTGGTTGAAATATGTGCTTCGTTGGGGAGGGTTAAAATGGGGCAAGAAGTTTCACGAGAACCCATTATACCTAAATACATCCAGGCTGTTTAAAAATTGTGATAGAAACGATAATCATAAGGTATCGTTATATGAGAGGTCACACCAATAAGTTTACCGAAATTTAAATTTTTTTTGCTGCAAAGTTATATTTTTTTGGAGAAAATTCCTGAGAAAGAAAGTTCTGAGCAAGCCCTCAAAATACGTCAAATATGTGTGTGTCAAATGGAAGGGGACCGCTATAGCAAATAGCGAACAGTTGCTAGAATGTCAAATTGCAGCTGATTCGGTTGAAAAATACCTTGAATCGGGCGGTACGTTATATGGGACCTGTACCAAAACGTTGGCCTATGTGGACAGTTCTTTGCAAGGATATCAGATGCAGAGTATTACGACTTTTTGGCAGGTTTTGGCTATAATAGCGATCTCCTATCGTAGTGGTGACCAAATTACAAGCACAGGTTCTTAAACCTAATACTAAACACTTATTTGGCGGATCTGAACCCCATTTCAAAAGTAATTTCAAAAGCTTTTTCTTTAATGGCTTCCTTCCCAACACATCCAGGTTCATTGTGATAACATCTAGAAAATCTGAAATAAATCGTATTTCAACCACCATCAAATGTTGCAGTATTGGGTAAATTACAAAAAAAAAAAAATAAAACTTTAAATAAACAATTTCCGACAACATTCATTCATTTCGTTTCGGTGGGAAAAAATAATTTTGTCACTGAAAGGAAGATCATCAATCATTCGCAGGACTTGAACTCAGACCACTTACCTTCATATTGTGTTCGACCAACTTCTCGCTGGAGCAGATCATGTAGACCAAATAGGCTCGCACTAACTCCCATGTTGTTTTGCTCTTGAATGCGGCAACTGGATCGTTGAAACTAACATCCAACGGGTCCCGTTGGGGATTCTCGGGTACATTCGGTGTGGGGGGACTACGACGTAACTGAGATTTTGAATAGACCGATGATTTCTGCTCATCACCGATGGTTTGGGTGGCGGCTACAGTCTGCGATTTAGTGGCATTGGTGTGAACGCCACGTTGTTGCTGGCCATAGATGGAGGCAAACAATGTCTGGGGAAAAACACGTTTCGATTGATACAAAGCCGTCGAATAATTCAATTCATCGTTAGACCAGCTATTCGATGCTGCTGCTACTCCGGTCGTTGGTTTATTCGAGCCAAATTGACGTTTGCCCGCGCCAAGACTGCTGGAACCACTAACGCTACAGCTATAAACTAAATTGGTACGTTGAGCACAGATGGAACGCAAAAACGCCATTACACACGCGCACTAGCTTGGATTCACTGAAATATGGATGGTTGTTGTTGGTCTTTTGTCGGCGTTTCCCAGAGGATACAATTTTCTTTTCAAAACTTTTCGTTTTTTTTTTCTTTATTGTTGTGATTTGTTTCACTAGTTTCCGTTTTGTGGGGAACGTTTATTTTTCAACACTTTTATGTGATATTTTATTTTTCTCTTCTGAATGAAACAGGACACAAATAGGGACAAATTTTCTGTCACAAGAAAATGTTAACACTGCAAAAAAGAAAAATAGATAAAAAATTTAACAATTTTAAAATGGGAAAACTAGAGAATGGACGAGTAATATTAAGGGGTATTGATAGCGTAAAAAGTTGTAAGAATTACTTGAAATTGTTACGGGATGTTGCCCGATAGTTCAAAAGTTAGCTTAAAGAGAGCGATTTTGGGAGAGATTGTTGTTACTCAGCAAGGCCTACATAGGGAAACTATTTGATTTGACTATTTTTGAATTTCAAATCACAATTATTTTTTTGGCAGCAAACTTAGTTGTCAGATGGACTTTCTGGTCCATCTTATGTAGGCCTCGTTCCTGAGAATTTGCAAATTCTCAGATCTTTTTTGTTTGATCAGCTGATAATTTATCAGCTGTTTTGTGGCCGATGCGAAAATCTTTTAAAGTTGCAGGCAATAATATAAATATGTAAAATAAAAATAATACCAATCATTGTAGAATTAATAAGGTAACCTCGTGTAATCATATGTTTACAATTTTGTCAGAATTTTACATTTGACAACATAAAATGGAATCGCATGTCCCGAAATTCACTCCATTTGGGCTGATAGTAGCCAAACTCTATAAGATATCTGGTACCAAATATCATTGTTGTCGAATACGTATTACGAATGTAAGGGACTTACAACACCAAATCCGATGCTTACTTCTAGACTGAATTCGGTCAGATGTGCCAAAATTCAGGTCATTTGAACTTATAACGGCCTTTTGGTGCACAATCAACCCGAAATCGGTTGACGATATATATGGGAGCCATATCCAAATCTGAACCGATCTTGATAAAATTTGGCAGAGGTATTTCTGGGCTGTATCTGAACCGATTCTCTCCGAATTCGATGTACTTGCGTCTAGTCTAATTTCGGCGGATCTGATCCAATTATCACCAATTTCAATAGGATACGTCCTTGGGTGAAACAAATATTGTTTGGAAAATTACATCTCAATCGGATGATAAATTCGACCTGCATTTTGTTCACAAGAATACATGGACATTGACGGACGGACGGTCAGACGGTCTGACATGCATAAACAGACTTAGAAAGAGATTATATGAAGATCTTCAAAAGTAACTATGGGTCAATCTCGCTTCCTTCTCCATGTTACCCTTACCACTATGTGGTATAAAAACAAGTAAGAAAGCAGCTAAGCTCGGCCGGGCCGAACTTTTTATACCCTCCGCCATTTGGAAGAAACTTGAACAATTTTAAGAAAGTTCCCCTCAAATGAAATTCGTTATATAGGGGCTATACGAAGACATGATCATGCATAAGTAATTTGTGTCAGAGGCTGTAGTAACTGTTCCGAACTTTATATACGAAATTTGAAACAATTCCGGTGAATAACGTTGAAAAACTCATCAAAATATCGGGAGAAACCGTATAGGGGATATATGATATCGTGGATCTATATAGACAATTCTCTTCCAGTGGGTAATGTACTCACAAGGAACTCCTTTTGTGGATTTTAATGCAATTCCATTGAAAATTTTGCCTGAAATTATCAAAATACTGAATATGGGGGGTAGCTTTATATGGGGGTAGCTTTATATGGGGGGTAGCTTTATATGGGGGGATACCTATATATACGTGGATCTATTTAGACAATTCTCTTCTAGGGGATAAAGTTCTCACAAGGAACTTCTTGTGAGAATTTTCAGACAAATCCATTGAAAAATGTGGCTAAAATCATCAAAATACCGAATATCGAGAGTTGCTGTTGTATGGGTGTATATAGACAATTCTCTTTCAGGGGATAAAGTACTCACAAGGAACTTCTTATGAGAATTTTCAGACCATTCCATTGAAAAATCTGGCTAAAATCATCCAAATGCCGAATATAGGGGGGTACCGTTATATGGAGGCTATACGATATCGTGGACCTATATAGACAATTCTCTTCCAGAGGTAATGTACTTACAAGGAACTCCTTTTATGGATTTAAATACAAATCCATTGAAAATTTTGCTGTAATTGTCAAAATACCGAATATCGGGGGCACCGTTATATGGAGACTATACGATATCGAAGACCGATATAGCCCATCTTCGAACTTGAATTGCCTGCAGACAAATGTCAGAACTGCGCAACATTTTAGCTTCCTATCTTAATTCGTTGTGACTGTAGCGTAATTACAACAGACGGACAAGGCTAAATCGTCTTGGAATATTACGCTAATCAAGAATGTATACACTTTGTTGGGTCTAAAATTATTATTTTGGTGAGTTATAAACGGAATGACGAACTTAATATACCCTCCATACAATGTATGGTGGAGGGTATAACAATTGAACGCTTAATAAGTCATATCTATGCTAATAAATAAAACTAATTATATAAATAAAAGTAAAGATCGATGATCGATGAGAGGTAAATATCTGACAAAAACATAAATAGTCTCCATTTTCCTACCAATTTAAACCTAATCTTCCGGTGTTAAAACACATTTTTTAAATATTTCCTGCTTTTAAATCAACTGAGGTGAATCAATCGGTCGATAACTTAATAATTGCACTTTTAATTCATTGCGAATAAAAATAATTGCATGGACAGTTTTTGTTCTCCTCCATTCTAAAGAAAACCGACTCATAAAAATGCATTTTTTAAAACACCGTTTTAATTATAACAATTTAAAATTCCACAGAATATGTCATTGGATAATTGTTTGTTATTTAACTGTAGAACGGTTATTATATTTATAATAGAACTTTCAGAATCTTCATTTTAAAGCCAGTAGAATGCTACAGTAAAGTCCATAATAATGTAAAATAACCAAAACTAACGGATACCTGCTCATCGACGGTGCAACTCATAAGGAGCACCGGCGGCATCAACTGCGTTCAAAAAAACTGTGAACGTACGATAACCTTACAATTGTAACCTCCTAATCCACTCGTCCGACAGCATTGATTGTTTACAATCATACAAAAGCATTTTGGTGAGAATTTATCAGAAAAAAGTTATTCGTGATGGAATTGTGATAGTGTGATTTCTTTATATTTGGCTGGAAAACCTGAAGTGGCTATCAATAGAGCACTCCAGCATTTAAAAGTGAATAAAGTGTGTCTCGTACCATCGCCCGTTAGCCCGACGTTAAGGAAGTGGACGGAAGAAAACAGCAACATCAGCAGAAATGGTTCGAAAGTAAAGAAGCGAATCGATCGAAACCTGTGTCGCATATCGCGTGAACATATCGCTGTGAGGTGAACATATCGCAATATTCCATTCGGCAAATATTAAAAAATTAGCTCGGGGTAAAGCCATAGAGATTCCAAAAAGAGCAAGAACTTACACCGCAACAGAAAGAAAATAGACTCAAAAGAGCTAAATAGTTGCTTCGCTCCGCCCAGGCCAGCCGATGACTTAAGCCAGTCAAAAAAGCGTTTTATGTATTCTCACCTTAATTCCTACTGAGAGAAATTCGATTGAGCCATGGCACAAATACAAAAGGTAGAACAAATACAATTTTTTTCTTTTTGGGCTCCAATTTCGTCAAAACATTTTTACAGTTTGTATGTGTGTGTATTGTTTTGAATAAAAAAAAATAATTATTTCAAATTTAAACACAACAGAAATGCATATTTGCCACGTTAACGGGCAACAAAATTTATAATTTTGGGATAAAATAATCTTGCCCCACTATCTGGGATTCAATTTTGTGGAGAAACCCCAAAATTCAATTCAAGTTTTGTAGATTTTCCCCAACATAATAATTTTGTAAAAAAATATATATAAAAAAAACAAAACCAATTGTTGATAGTTTAAAAATTCTATTTTACATAATAAGACTCCAGTACAGAGTTTGCATTTTCCTAGTTTACTTGAGCCATGTATTGAGCTAAATCTCCCGAAAAATGTTACCGAATAAAGGTGTGGATACATAAGCAGCTTGGCATCATGGTCAGGCATAAATGTCAAATTATAAGGAAAATGCGGAAAGATAATAATGCGGCCCTGGCATTCCTTTACGATATGTCACAAAATATACCATGCGAAGACCTTAAGCTGCTTATGCACACATACCTAAAAGGTGAGAATACATTACACGCTTTGTTGACTGGCTAAAGCCATTGGCTGGTCTATTTGTAGAGGAACAACGTAATTCTAGGTTGAATTAGTTCGATTTTGGCCCTACGCTCCTTTGTTCTTCTCCGAAGAAGCCAGCCGATTATTTAAGCCAGTCAAAAAAGCGTTTTATGTACTCTCACCTTACGTTTACAACTTCCATTGTATAATCGAGCACTCTTACCATAAATACTTCAAAAGAAATAATAGAGCAATATTTGGGAAAATTTACAACGGACAATCGTCATTATTTTGGGAGTTTTTAACCAAAATATAAAAAAGTGACATAACTATTAATATTTGTTCGGTTAGTCGCGGAAATCACTGCACATTCTTGGATCTTTTTCAAGAATCAATAATTACTTCGTGTTAAGGGATTTTATGAACCAATTTCGGATTTTCTGTTCGTTTCCGACATATCCCACATGATTTCTTTTTGTGAAAATTCGCTTTTGACAAGCTGTTTAATAAGACCAATAACATTACGCAAGCGGCCATAAACAAAAATTTTGTTTTGAAAATTTTGAGCGACATTTGAAACAGCTGGTTTATGTACTCGCCGCTGCGAGTCATCGACGTCATGACTGAAACAAAAAAAATAGAATATAAATGAGTTGAAAGTACGACCAAATCCCTTCAACCCCTTTTATTTGATAACTGCCAACAGAGTGGCAGACAGGCGGCAGCCAACAAGGCACCCTGTATTTTTGGGGCAGCAAACTTGTGGTGTTTCGTTCTTCTTGTGTGGGAAAAAAGAGAGTACACGTCTGAATTTCGGTATGTATTTGTGTGTGTATGCGTGTGTCTTTGCTTGGCATCGCATGTGTATGCGAATTGTTGGTCTGATTCAATGGATTTCTGTCGGCACCGAGGAATCTGGTTGGTAATGCTCCTATAACTTCTGCCATCGACAATTGCTCTTTTTTTTTTTTTGAAGCGTTTTTCTCGCTGCTTGTTATGTTATATAACGACCATTATGTGGGCATTTAAGTCCTTATACGTGAATAAATTTTCACCACACTCATTTCTTTTTTTGTTTTGTATTTTAAATGCAACTAAATGAACAAATTATGAATTCACATTCAGGCATTTCTCTGAAATTCGTTTCAAAATCAAAGACATTTTCCCCAAAACCATAGGCATGGGGTTATTTATAGATGAGACTTTTCGCTACGAAAGTGGAAGTTGGATGTGTTTTGTTTTGTAGTGCAAAAATTCGCATGGCCATAATTTCTATTCATTTTTTTTGTGAAATTTTCAAATTTAAAAATTCTCAACTGGCATGTGCTGATGAATAATTACAAAGTAATTTAATTTATTTTTCGATTTTCAAACTTATTTCGCAGAATTTGGATAGGTATAAAATTTATTTCTTCGTTTTGCCAATTCAGCTAATTTTTGTTATTTTTTGTGCAATTATTGTCGAACACACATCAAGTTTTATTGTTGTTATTTCGATTCGAATTGAAAAAAATATATATATATATATTTGTTATAGTTGCTGTTTCTGTTGTTATTGTTGTACAACAGAATACAAAATGTATGGATACCCAATACAAAATGTTGTAGAAAAGAAGCAAGAAAAAGTATACCTAAACCGTTTTCGGGTCTGTTTTCACACTTTTTTTTTATTTTTATATCACAAACACACACCACAGTACACGGGCAAAAGGAAGAATGAATTCAAGAATCACGTCGCGGCGTTCAACGTCAAACGACAACTGACAGAACAAGTCTAAGGAATCGAGTACCAGAGCAATGAGTGCCGTCGCCGCCACATCCACATACCAGTCGAACGGAACGAAACGAACGAGAACCAACCGTACCACACAATAGAGGCGGTGGTGGGGTCGATGATGATGATATTTTTCTCTGAGAGACAATATGTTTGGTTGGCTTTTGTGCTCTTCATTTGTCTTAGCTTTCTCTCTGACAAATTATCCCCCAAAACAAGGTGTATGGTGAATGCATGCAAAAGCAATTGTTTAGGCGAAAAAGAGATGTTCCGAACTCTCAGCAGTATGTTCGCATGTACGAATGTGTTGTTTTTAATCATCATGTGCTTTCAGAAAGTAAAATACAACGGCGAAAACACGCGAAAAGGGCAAGACCAGGGATGGGATTGTAGTTTCATCAAAAGGTTAACTTTGCAATCAAACAGTGGCAGGTGGATACGGAAGACTTTTGAAAAGATTTGACTCTATTTTCAGTGTACTAATCGTTCAAGAATAGTAAAATAATTTATTTATTTTTGTATAAGAGCATTACAGGATGATAAACAAAAACGGCAACAAAGTCAAACGCCATAATTTTTACATTTCTTTTAAATTTTATTCAATGAAAGCAAAAAATGTCGGAAATAGCATCAAATGATAGAATAAATTTAGATTTATTCGAATTGGTCACCTTTGGCACGAATTGTGGCCTTCAAACGGCCAATGAAACCTTTATACGCTGGCCGAATATGGCTCTGCGGTATTTTGGTGATCAACACTTTGGTATATTTTGGTGCCTACTTTGCTTTCCAAAATACTCCAGACACAATAGTCCAACGTATTGGTATCCGTAGATTTCGGTTGCCATTGTGCGCTGGAAATGAAGCAAGAAACCTCATTTTGTAACCATTCTTGGGTGGCGCGTGCTGAATGCGATGGTGCTGTATCCTGTTGGAATGTCCAAGATCTGCGGCCAAACTGCTTGCGTGCCCAAGGCTTTAATACAACCTGCCACTGTCGATTAATACGAGCGAAGAGCGGCGGCCGACACCATCACCGGCGCTTGAGTTATGGTGGCCAACCGGAGGTGCACATTTTCAGCTGACCTCTTTGGCAAGTAAACACGATCATTTTGTTTGTTTACAAACTGCTGGACAACGAATGTTTTCCCATCGGAGAAAACCAAATTCGGCAGTTCACCACTTTCGGCCTAGAGAAGCAACTCTTTAGCTCTTTTGAGTCTATTTTCTTTCTGTTGCTGTGTATGGTCTTGCACTTTTTGGAATTTCAATGGCTTTACCCCGAGCTCATTTTTCAATATTTGCCGAATGGAATATTGCGATATGTTCAGCTCACGAGCCATTTTTCGACCACTGCGACGCGGGCTTCGATTAAGTCTTCTCTTCACTTTTCGAACCATTTCTGCCGATGTTGATGTTTTCTTCCGTCGAGCGATGGTACGAGACACAAAAGATTTATTCATTTATTCAGTGCTCTAACGATAGCCACTCCAGCCAAATATAAAGAAATAACACTATCACGCTTGAATTCCATCACGAATAACTTTTGTTCTGTAAAATTCTCACCAAAATGCTTTTATACGCTTGTAAACAATATAATGACACGTCACTGTCGGACGAGTGGCTTAGAAGTGACAGCAGTCTGAAGTTGGTTGCAGTTTTTCCATCTCACCCTGTATGGACATTCAAAAATTTGACCTCTTGTGGTGGAGGTACCAGTATGAGTGGACCGATATATTCCATCTTAACACCAGACCTTGGATTAAAAATATTAGGGTGTGTGAAATTGAAAGACAATCGGACCCTTACATTACATTTTATATGCATTATAATTTTTTAAAATGTTGACCATTTGTAGGGTAGGTACTTGTTAAAATGGACCGATATTGTCCATTTACGCACCTGACCTAGCACTGATGCAAATATTGGGATTTTTCTGTGTATGTTTTTTTTTTTTGAAAATTTCGACCTTTTGTGGTACCTACAAGGAGTGGATCGATATTGTGCATCCCCGAACTCGATCTAAATTTGATAATAACATTACGATGTACCAAGTTTGGACCAAATCAAATACTCTCTTCGAGAGTTATCGTGCGCACCAGACTCCAAATGTCCTGAAACGGATTTGGTTCATTAGGGTCTAAAACCGTTATTTAGACTGGGCACGTTTTGACCAAAAGCGTGGATCTATACATGCTATGTTTCGCCACCGGAGCTGGAACCTATTATGACCAACAAATACCAATTTTTAGACAAACCCATGAAAAAATGTGGCAAAAATCGTCAAAATACCGAATATCGGGAGGTACCGTTATATGGGGGGTAAAACCAAAGCGTGGACCTATACATGCAAAGTTTCGCCACCGGAGCTAGAACCCATTATGACCTACAAATACCAATTTTCAGACAAATCCGTGAAAAAATGTGCAAAAAAAACTAAAATACCGAATATCAGGAGGTACCTTTATATGGGGCTATACCACAACGTGGACCTATACATGCAATGTTTTGCCACACGCTCAGGGGCCCGTTATGACCTACAAATACCAATTTTCAGACAAATCCGTAAAAAAATGTGGCATAAATCATCAAAATGCCGAATATCGGGAGGTACCGTTATATGGGGACTATACCAAAACGTGGACCGATATATCTCATTTTCAATACCAACCATCCTAGACACAATGAAAATTATTCTGCTAAATTTTGACGCTCTATGTCAAATAATGTGGTGTCGTGATTTCAACAGACAGACGGACACACAGACAGACAGACAGACAGACGGACATCGTTAAATCGTCTTAGAATTTTATGCTGATTATGAATATATATACATTATGGGGTCTACGACGAATATTTAGGGATGTTACAAACGGAATGACAAAGTTAATATACCCTCCTTTCCAAGGTGGAGGGTATAAAAACATGATTTACGTTATTCATATTTTTATTTGAATAAATTTCGAACAAATGAATATAAAACATGGCAATATGAATACATGTTGACCTTTTATGGGTCCGAATTTATACCCCTTTCAGAGGCATGCCCAATATACTTATTAGCATACGTCAATGACATTTCGATTGCAGCCAAATCAAAACAACAGATAAATGAAAATTCTGAAAGAAAATGTTGAAATTAAAAATCTTGGAGAAGTTGATCACTACTTGGGTCTTAAAGTTAGGAAAGTCTATGGTAACTTTTACATTCCTCAGAAATGTTGTATTAACAAACTTCCAAAAGAATATGGGCTTCAAGAAGCCAAGATAGCAAAGTTTCCAGTTGATTCAGTCCTTGGAAAAAAACGATCTCAGAGAAATAAGGTAATAATAACTGGCATCGGAAACTAATCGGATCTTTAGATGTTATACTGGTGCGAATTGGGCCGAAACGAAACAGATCTAAAATCCAACACAGGATTCATTTTTCAATTTAACAGTGAATCTATATCATGGCGTTGTCGGAAGCAAACTCATGTAGCTCTGTCATCTACTAAGTCCGAATTTATATACATTTCAGAGGCATGTAGATAAGCAATCTAGATACGAAAACTCCACAACTAAATGCCACAAAATTTGCGAACATAATCAAGGATGTCTTTTTATGATTGAAGAAGTGAAAATCAGTAATAGAAGGGACACATATTGACATCAAAATCTATTTTATAGAGCAATATATCGCGAATCGTGGCATAATATGTGAATCTAGATGAAACATCTCAGTATTAAAACAGGAATACTAGCCATTTGAGGACTGATATTATACTCTACCAAATTCGACTTGTGATACGAATCATACAATTATATCATAATAGGCTTCCGTAGTTGGATTTAGCAACTAAGCCTACCTTCTCTTCATTGTACCATGGTTTTTATATAATCTTCAATAAACCGTACAACACAACGTATCCAAGATTTCTTCGGAGACAGCGAGGTCCCAAGGTCAAATTTTCAAAGTCATCATTGTCCATTTTCACACTCCTCTTCACTATAGATCTATGGTTGACAAAAATATTGATATACGTGAAGTTTGAAGTAATTTTCGATTTGTTTCGCATTTTATGATATAATTATTCAGAATTTTCACCCATTCTGGAGGAGTGGGAAGCTAATAATACGATAATAACCAAATTTCATTTTTTTATAATTACAGGAAAAACCCAGTGCTATGAATATGCTAAATGCTTTTCATTATATGAGAACATGTTTTTTTTTGCAAAAAAAAGCAAGCAAGCTGGAATGGATACATTTTTTGTTCCCAAATTCGAAGAAGGCTGTAAATGATGGTCCACAGCAAGTGACTCTTATAATTTTTGGGACAGACATCGTAAAATTTTCCCATCTAGAAATATTGGGATGTACGAAATTTGAAGACAACTCCCTCTCCACATTTTATATGATATACAGGGTGAGATGAAAAAACTGCAACCAACTTCAGACTGCTGTCATTTCTAAACCACTCGTCCGATAGTTGTTAAAATTATTCCAGTGACAGCTCACTGTATTGTTTACAAGCGAACACAAGCACTTTGGTGAGAATTTTCCAGAAAAAAAGTTATTCGTGATGGCTGGAAAACCACATGTGGCTATCCAGCATTTAAATGTGAATAAATCTTCCATCTTAAAACCATCGCTCGTTACCGTGATACTGGTAGCGTAGCCCGACGTCAAGGAAGTTGACGGAAGAAAACAACAACATCGGCAGAAATGGTTCGAAAAGTAAAGAAGCGACTTGATCGAAACCCACGTCGCAGTGGCCGAAAAAAGGCTTGTGAGCTGAACCTATCGCAATATTCCATTCGGCAAATATTGAAAAATGAGCTCGGGGTAAAACCATTGAAATTCCAAAAAGTCCAAGAACATACACCGCAACAGAAAAAAATAGACTTAAAAGAGCTAAGAGTTGCTTCGCTTGGCCGAAAGTGGCGAACTGCAGAGTTTGGTTTTCTCCGATGAGAAAACATTCGTTGTCCAGCAGTTTGTAAACAAACAAAATTATTGCCAAAGAGGTCAGCTGAAAA